GTTGCATAGAGCTCTAGAACTTTTCAAGAGAGTATCAGAACTGCAAAAAAAATGTCACATTTTTGAATATGGTGTGCCAAGTTCACATATGACTTAGCACACCATATTTAAAAATGTGACATTTTTTTTAGAGTTCTGATACTCTCTTGAAAAGTTCTAGAGCTCTATGCAACAATTTTAAATAGTTCCGGTCATTAAATACAAAACAACAGATTTTTAAAAAAAGGTGCGCTAAGTTCTCCAGCGCACCTAATCAGTAAAATCAACTTTTTCTTTATGTTCCGTACGGGAGCTGTCGTCCGCACGGATCGCGGGCGGCGGGCGGCCATACATCAGGCGCGTGCCGCGCGCGGGCGACTACCGCTCGCCGCGGCTTCACGCCGCCGCCGCTACGCGGCAGCGCGCCGAGCCGGGGCCTTTACTCGCGGTTAAATTTCGGTGTGGCGCCTATATAAGACGCCGCGGACGCCGACTCTAGGACTTTTGTAATCCTTTTGCTTACGGTTGCACATCAGGTCATTGCCTCGCTGAGGTATTATTTTGCACTATATTTAGCTTCATATCGCCTTCTTGAGTGCGTCAGCACGTTGGGCTCTTGTCTCGCTCGAGGTCTACGTTGGCATATCCGCCTCGAACTTTTCTGCCTTAAGAGTGTCGTAGACACGTTGGCATTGGTGGTTAGGTCTTCGGTGACTCCACACAAGTTTCCGCAGCCCTTTAGAGTGCTCTTGCACGTTGGGCGAATATCTCTAGAGTGTCCGAGGACACGTTGACATCGGTGTTACGAAGTGTACGATAACTCCACGGATCTCAAACTTCTCAATACGATCGAGGATTGAGAGAAGGCTTCGCGCGACCATATCGGATTACCTTGACATCTCCACTGCGGTGGACGTCTCTCTTCGCGACATCTCGGTATTGCACATACTGAGTATTATCGCCGACAGAACCAACTGTTGAGATCACGACTCCGCGCGAGTCATCCTTGTCATCAAGGACTCAGTCGCTGCCAGGGACGCGGCATGTACACGCGAGCAGTACTCGTCTTCACGTCCACACAGGACTTAGTCGCTGCCAGGGACGCAGCATATACACGCGAGCGGTACTCGCCTTCACGTCCGCACGGGACTTCGACGCTGCCAGCGACGCAGCATACACACGCGAGCAGAGCTCGCCTTCACGTCCGCAAAGGACTCAGTCGCTGCCAGGGACGCAGCACACACACGCGAGCCGTGCTCGCCTTCACGTC